TCAAAACTACTTTTTTGTTTGATAGAATTTTCCTAGTGCAGGTAATCACTTGGAGCTGGGAGGGAAATTTTTAATTTTTTTGGTAAATGGTTATGTGGGTTTGACCCATGGGTTTTGGCTAATGCTAGTGCTTATTGGGTCAGTCCATGGCCCACAGTGCCGATATATGAGTCAGATTTTGTTAAGCTTTTGGGCTCTCCAATTGGGCTAAATATTTATATTAGAGTAATGATTAAGACCGCCAGCTCCACAAGAACCCCATAAATCTGGACCACTCATGATGTGGACCCCATATATACATGAGTAAGGCCCCACACATACATGGAGGGCCAGGATCACTTCGGGGGTATGGGGTTCATCCCCAAAGGGCGTCCCAAACATTTCCCTTTTATATTATTTGAGAGATAAGTTGAGATTTTGTTATGGCCCCACATTTTGATTGGGCCATTGTGCAATGGTACGCTGTTTCTAGCGGGTTATTCATGATGATTGATTATGTGATCCTCACGTGACTCTATATGAGGTTGTTCTTCAGCCATCTCCGCCAAGAGTGATTTAGGGGTCATTGCTATAGGGTATCGTGGTTTAATGATCTACCGAGTTAGAGATTGAGAGATGAGAATCTATCGATTTTCTGGTTGCCTCTTGTCTTCATGTGACCCATCTTGATTTTGTTTTTAAGCCACTCCCAAAATGGAGTGAGGAAGACATTGTCGTAGGGATTGAGGTTTTGTGATCAATCACGGAAGGGACTGAGGGATGTGGTGTTGATTTCATGGTGGGTTTGACTTTGGCTATGACTATTGTTGCGGTGGTTTTTGCTTTTGCTATACTCTCTAAGACTGCTAATTATGGTATTTGACTCTGCGAGCTTCATGTGACACTGTATCAAGATCTTGTTGTGAGGTCACTCCATGTAAAAAGGGTGATCCACTTTCTTCCTTCTCCCTCCATGTGAAAGCAGCAGAGGAGAGTTAAGGAAGAAGGCGTACAAGGACTTCCATTGCATAGAGAAATTGTTGAAGTCTCCAAGTCAAGGAGTAGGAGGAAGCAGGTGATCAGCTCCACTGAAAGTAAAGAAAGAACGAGTTGGTCATGTGTATAGCCAAGCTCTTCCTTCTGCCATTTTTGACTTCCACCAAAAGGAGATGAAAATTTTGGTGGGTTTCTCTTTATCTCTCTCTCTCCCTCTCTCTCACACACACACACACACACATCTTTGTGTATAAATAGAGAAGTGAGGGGGAGAGATTAGTGTGAGAAAAACAGAGCAAAAAAGAGAGAGTGAGAGATGTAACAGAGATACCACCTCTCTCAGTGTGAGAGAGGAAGACATGGGAGTATGTTAAGTTGAGTAAGAGTATCTCCTCTTCCATTATCTTTCTGTAATCTTTCCATTGTGATAGTGATTATTGTTTTCTTTCCCGTAGACATAGGCATTGAGGCGGAACCACGTTAAATATGGTGTCTCTTTGGGTGTGTGTTTGTTTTTTTACTTGGTATAATTTCTGGGAGGTCTTGGGCGGGATCCCGAATCCCCAACAGATCGTTCATGGGGTATATGTTTTCCTTTGTCATTGCTTTGTGAGTGGCTATGGATGTCACGACTGTGAGGTGCGAGATGTTTATTTGACTCCAGGTTTTATTTGGACGAGAACTGGGAGCTAGTGGGGGAAGTTAACAAATTTGATCGGTCTCAGTGGTTGTTTTAGCTTGTTTATTACGGTGTCTAGTCATGTATCAGTTTACTAATGTTTATGTGGTTCCCTTTGTATACCTGCCCATATATCTTCCCCAAATTTTCATCTATTATCTTTGATGGTAGGGGTTACTTAGATATATAGACAAATTTGGGTAATTATGGTTTATGTTAGGGTTATAAATGAACAAAGTTATTTGTGAACAGATTTGAGTTTGGCTCAATAAAGATTTATTTGAATTCGGTTTATTAAATTTTATTGTGTTTGAACTCGAGCTTGAGCTCATTAAAAATATTAATAAATAGGTTCAAACATATCAAAACTCGACTCATTAGTTGAGTCGTTTAATATTTATTTAAATAATAAAATAAAAATATTATATATATATATTTATATGTTAAATAATATAAAAATATGCTATTTATATATTTAAAAAATATAAATGTAAATTATAACTAACCATAGATAATACATTTATATAATGGTAGTGGTAGATATTATTATTTTGGCAAAATATTAATTTTTCTTTTAACCTATATCTATGTGAAACATTGAGAAGATGGAATTATTGTGGTATTATTGATGAAAATGAACCTTAGGATTAATATTGAGGATTTGGGAAAATGCCTTAATTATAATGATAAATTAATTTGTATAATTAATTTTGGGGAAATGAGAAATTGAGTTGAGAATAATGAAATTGGGAAATTATGAGATTAAATGGTGTAGTTGGATTAATTTATCACTCACCTATGAAAATGTTGATATTATATCTGTTTATGCATTTATTTTCTGTTTAGAAATAACTACTTTGGGCTATCGGTGGAGGATAGTCTTGAATGTTATAGACAATGCATGATGATTAGGCGAACTAAAACTAATCGATTGAATGTGTCATCGAGTATGGCAGTTGGAATAATACATCAAATTTATGTATTGATTGACCTTGTATATGATATGTGTTTATATACATTGTGTTGTGCGGGAGGAGATAAGGGATGTACTCCACGGTTTAGGGGAAGATGGGGGATGGACTCCTAAACCGGACATTGTTTGGGAGGAAATAGGGGATGTACTCCACTGATACAGCAAATATGTGTATCTATTGAAGGGTTGATATAGCAAATCTGTATATCATATATGAAGTATAGAAGTGTTTTGTTTGAGATTGATACAGCAATTATGTGTATCCATTTGTGAAGTAAGAAGTGTTTAATATGAGTTATTATCCCAATTGAAATGGATGTACTATTAATATGAGATGTAATCTCGTTTAAATTATCGGGCCAGGTTTTGAGCCACGTTTATGAAATGATTTGATGAGTAAAGGAAAATGGATTGTAACATGGACAGGATAGTCATGGAATTGTATTGTGATATACATTGGTTTATATGTGTTAACCTTCTGTCAAATGCCATTATTTAGTCATTGTTCATAGTTGGTTTAGTATATCTCTACTGGACTGTGGCTCACCCTATATGGGACATCATTTTTAGATCCAGGTGATATGCCACCTCCAAGATCATAGTTTGGACGGTTCTGGGAGTTGAAGACTCTTTTGTGATTTTGTTATCTTTTGATGTATTACATGTAAATTCAAGCCAAGGGCTTAATATGTGTTAGGTTTTATTTATTGGCAATCCCGTTTGACAAAACTCCTTTGAGTTGTAATTTTATTCGCACTTTTATTTTAGTTAGGCTATGAGCGTTTAGATGCGAATCCAACCCGAATTGTACTTTTCAGAGAAGTTTGTGATGCTAATGCTTTCAAGATTGCCACTTCGCTGATTATGACGGGGATTGAGCTGCCCGGTCAGCTCGCGGGGGTCCAGGGCAGAACAATAATGTAGATAGTCAGTACTGTTGAACCGAACATGACCTTTATTTTCGGGACTGTTGTGCCGAATAGTTCAATTTGTGTATCTTCAACACTAGGTTGTATTTTTTGTGAGGGTTTTTCCCTCTAAAACTCCCTTTTATGCTGAAATAAACCAAAAAACAAAAATGTGATAGAAAGAAGAGAGGCAATGTTGTTGATAAGATGGGGAGTCTACGAGTTTTTCGACGGTAGTCTTTGGACACTGTTTAATCGATTTCTCCTTTCGTTAAGAGCCAATAGGAATTTCAATGATGGAATGTCGATGCAATGCTCTTCATTAAGACAATGGTGTTTACTGATGCAATAAATTCGCGTGTTGGGTCAGATTTTAGGATTACTTCTCCAGATCTTCTTTTTGGTTTCTAGGGTTTATATCTGGGGATACTTTGGGAGTTTTCTTTGATGTTTTTATTGAGTCTTCAACTCATGATTTAAAGAGAGTACATCAAAGGTTTGTTTGTTATACACAAAAGAGAGTGTTATTCTTCAGTTGTGGATTCTGAAGAATTCGTGCCTGAAGCTTTGGTGGAATCCGGAGTGGCTCATCAGAAAGACAATTCTGTGGTGAAGATGGGGTTGGAAGAGGCACATAGAGGTTGGTTCAATTAGGCGTTGTGGATTCGCTAGGTAATTGAGAGTATACCTGTGTAATTCCTTTAAATCTTCTTAGTGGATTGTTCTTGTGGCTGTTGCCCGTGGTTTTTTGATCACAGTTGGAGGTGTCCAATTGTGATTTTTTCCACGTTAAATCGTTGTGTCTCTTTGTCTTGATTGTTTGATTGTTTGATTGGGATTGTTATATTCTGCTTAAAATTGATACATAATCACAAATCAACATCTAGGGAATTTCTAGATTTTTCAATATGTATTTGAGTTAGTATTCTTTTCTTGTAACCAAGTGTTGGCTTGGAAAGTTGTAAGCTCGTAGGGTATTTACTTTTGTTGTCAATATGTAATACTTTTGTAATGAATATTTTAGTTAATGGAAAGATGTTTATTTCTTTTATATCTGTGCGTGTCAAGATTGTTAGGTTTTATGTATTATTTTGAGGGCGTTACAAAACAAGGTTCATGTAAAGTGATTTTATTTTATTGGCTCTTTAGATGATTTTTTTTTTCTTTATTCATGGGGTAATTGGATAAAGAGGATTTTATTTTTTATTTTTTATTAAGCTTTAGATATAGATTTTAAAATTTTTGAAGGGCATATTTTTGACGCATCTTGAAAAGGACAGTAACTATTTTATGTCATTCACTGATTAATTGTAAGCCTTTTACCCAAATGCTACCATATAAATGCTTTGTCAATCCTACTTTTCTCTAAAGTCCATAATGTTGCATAGAAGATTGCCTCCCAAATAATTTTCTAAAATCTTATTTTAGACTGGCTCGTAATGTAAACAAGTCAAATTTCAACACATTTTAAAAAATAGTTATGTAAATAAGTCGCACGCTTAGAAACCCGTTAAGTTTTCAAGCTATACTTAAACAGCTTACAACTTAGTATTAACTCAACTTGTTTGTAATCCTATCCACACCGGATATAGAATAATGTCATTCCAAATGAGAGTCCTACTCACAGCTTTGACTCCATTGACCTCTCCCTCATAAGGACTCGGTAGTAAATTCCTTCCAAGTTACTTAGTAGCTCCTAATAGGCCAAAGATTCCATGATTGACTCCGGAACCTCTAGAATGATGATTTTCCTTCATCATCTTAAAATGATGTAATTTCCTTCATCTTCACTGTCACCCTTCAAAAAACATTTTTCAAATTTTCTCAAGAGCCTTTGTCATACTTTGTTGGAATTCTGAATCAAGACATGTAATAAATGGGCAAGTCCAATAATTTTGATTTAATCGAAGTAATTCTACCTTTCTCAACAATAGGTAGCCCGGTTTTTAAGTCTTCTCCCAAAAGCGTTCCAAGATATAAGAGATGGTTTCTTGAACTGCCTCTTTCATGAATAACTCTGATAATCCAACTCCGGGTAACCGAGTTTCTCGAAAGTTGATCTTTAAACCTGAAATCCATTCAAAGCATCAGAGAATCTCCTCTTTGCATTTGTCAATTCCTCTTTCATGTTGAGATGTTCTTGCATTGGTTATCAATGACTCAGATTTGTGTTAAAGTTTTCTGAAGAAGATGACGAAGACTTCGATCTTCAATTCTGAGAAATCAACAATGTCGACCATTTGTAGAAACCAACTTCCTTGACTTAAAATGTTTTTGATGATATTACTTTCCACTCTGCTAACCATCCCTCAGACATTCCAAGTAACAAGCTTCATTTTAGGAAAATTCACTCCTAACTCATTTGACCATTTTCATCCCATTTTCACCAGCTTTTGAGCTTCAACTTTTTTATTGTCACCAAATCGTCGCACATTTAATGACCAATATTGGACATTTATAATTTGGGATGGATTCAAAATTCATTCTCAAGTGCAAACAAAAAGTAAATAATAAAAAAATAAAAATAATATTAATTTTTATCAACAATAAAAAAAAGTAAATTATATTACTATTAATTAAACATTCTTTGCCAACATAATCATGTAAAAATAAATAAATGAACAATTTTTTTTTTGTCTACACTAACTTATTGTATGTCTCAGTCTACTACATATATATCTATGATATGATTGACATCAAAACCTTAATATATATCATTTTCAATAAATGTGATCAAATCATCTTTAATCCTATTACGCAGTTTGGTCTTGACTAATTTCATAGTTGCAAATGTGCATTACTATGCATAGTTAAAACAAGTAAAAATCAGCACAAGACAAGACCAATCAATTTATGAATAAAAAGATGTTTCAATAATTTTCTAAGCTCATTTGTAAGAGTGTCCTGTCAAACGTGACAATATTCTTATTTTCAAAAATGAAGAAACAAGAATGAAGGTAAAATAAGGGGTGTAAGCAAATTAAAGTATAATTTATGGGGGGAAAAAAAATCATAAATGACATGTGGTTAGAAAACAAGACTGGCAACAAATAAAGGCAAATGTAATAATACAAATAATTCTAAGTAATAAACAAATAACACAAATAACACAAATAACAAGCATAAGGGATCAATGTTAGATACAATTTAATTTGAAAATTATTTCTAAATTTTCATTACATGTGCGAAACTTTATAATTTCGTAGTGCGAACTTCTATGATTATAGGGTGTGGAATATTCTAATTTTGAAATCATATTGTTAAATATTAGTATAGTATAAGAAGTTTTTTAAATTTTTGGAGGTGGAACCATTCTTACAATTAGTGATAACTTTTTGTCATTGCAGAAAGCATGGGTTATAAAGGAAATTTTATTAGGTGATCCAGGGGCACCACTTGACAATACTCCCATCATCACCAAATGTTATGGCCCTTGTTGTTCCCTTGTGACCTAACACACAATCGTGGACTTTATCTTCTCTATCAATCACAAGACACTTGAAATACCACCTAATAACACTAAATAACTTTTCATGATTAAGAGAGTTTATGATGACTAGCTTCGCAATAGTGACAATCATTTGATATCATATGAAATGAACTATCGGATTATTTCATTTATTAGTGGGTGTTTGGGGCTTCTTTATTTGGCGTCTTTTTTTTGGGCTTATTTTTGTCTTTAGTAAAATTAAAAAAAAAAGAAACTTAAAAAGTTTTAGGCTTTTAGATTTAGCTCAACGAGACGAACCGAAAAATTTTAAAAAAATTTAAAAAAATCCAAAATAAATCCAACAAACACAAAAATAAGCACAAAAATATATATATATATATATATATTAGACTTTTTTTTTTGGGGGGGGGGCTTATTTTGGATTTTGTCAAATTTTGTTGGAATTTTTCAAAAAAAACTTATTTTTTAGATTCATTTACATAAGACGGACAGGAAAAGTAAAAAAATTGACATAAGTTTGAAAAAAAAATACTAAAAATAAAAACATTAAAAAAAGATTGCTTTTTTAGGTGTTCTATATTAGAGGACTTGTTACTCAAATATAATAAAAATCTAGATATATATTCAATTGACTAATAAAAGAAGTCACTCTCTCTCCTTGCAAGTATATAAGATTTACCTCTCAATTCTATTTTTAAGACTGAAAGAGAGACTTAATGGCCAAAGTGCTAATCACACATGCTAACAGCCCCTTGGTTAAGTTTTCTAACATGATTAACATCAACAAGAGAAGTTTGAAATCCTGAAATTATGAAAATTCTAGAGGACATCAATATAACTTACCCACGCTGTGTTTGGTTGGAGGATTTGAGGAGGGATTTGGAAAGGGAAAGGGAAAAGTTAGATGAAATGTAAATAAAATATATCTCCATTTCACCTAGTTTTACACACCTTTTCCATTTCCCTTTCCAAATCCCTCCCCAAATCTCCCAACCAAACACAGCATTATAATCAAAGAGTAGTGGGAAAAAATGCTTGAGTTCACTACTCACTGTGCACATAAAATTCCAAAGTCAATATTGACGATAATCTTTTGGGTTCATCCAAGACCAAATTCAAAGTTTTATCGTCGTTGATTGGTGCCAACGCATACCTCAATCCGGAGGACTGCTGACGTGGGATCCTATAGTTGAACTTCAGTTGCACGTTTTCTTCATTCAGGGCCATCTCGGGCTTGATCATCGCCTTCAACTGGCGCAATGTTGTCCCCTTTTCCACCTTACACAACTTCTTCGCATCGCAGTTGTAAGACACACCTTCGTGATCAGACACAATCTCTCCCCCCCAATAGAACAAAACGTTCTCACCTTCAGTATCAACGTTCTGACCTTCAGTATCAACGTTCTCATCTTCTGTATCAAACCTTCACAATTCAAAAACCTATAATTAGTACCTAAGTAAAAAATTCGTTGTTTCATTTGTTTGGACAAGCACATTGGTCAGTGCATTTCTTAGAAAGTTTTATATATTAAAAAAAAAAAAAAAAAACTGTTTAAATAAAAAATAATCCTTTAAATTGGATTGAATATTTATGTAGTTATAAGGAAATTTTGAGTCAATGCATTTCTTAGAAAGTTTTATAAAATTAAGCATTTCCTAATTCAATTATTATATTTTTATTTTTATTTTTTCAATTGGGATCTGAGACTTTACATGAGGAGAATTGCGTTTGACTAGATAACCATAGCCTACGAATACAAATTTAGAAGTCCAACAACACAAAACAGAGCGATTTGCAAGGTCGAAAACAAATAAATTAATAAATAAATATAAAATGAATTTCATGATGCATAATACGACGTTAACTTACCACTAAAAGATAAAGTTGCTCACCAAATTCAAGCCTTAAATCCATTTTTAAAAGAATAAAACAAGAATTCAAGCCTTAAATACCATAGAAAAGCATAAAAAAAATGCTCGCAAATTCAGATTTATCATACAAAAACACGTGTTAGTGTGCTTTACAATCCAGAGAAAAAAATAAAATAAAAATAGAGTAAACCTACCATACAGTTGAAGTCCCACATCAACATATCAACATAAATAAATAAATAAATATAATGAAAGAACAACAGTCTACAATTCGACCCAAAAAAAATGAAAACAAATATAAATATTGAACAAAAGTGTCATAACTTTTCATTTATAACTTTAAAATGCAGATTATAAATTTACTTTTCGTCTATATCTTTTTAGAAATCTACAAGTAGATTTGTCCGAGCCTATTAGATTAGTTTAGATGTATAAGTAGATTTATCCGAGCCTATTAGGATAGTTTAGATGTATGACATGATGTATAACATAAGTTCCTATTCTTGAAGTGTTTTCTTTATATCTTAATTTTTTCATTTTTAGTTAATTTTTTTTCAAAATTTTGACAAATATTTATTTCTTAGGCGCATTTAAAAAAGAGGAACTTACCAATAAGTCTCATATACAAAGTTCAGATCTATCTAATCCCCAAACAAAACACTTACACCAATAAGTCCTATATATTTATAATAGTTACCAAAAAATCATTTTTTTTTTTTCAATTTACAGATGCTGTTACATTTTACTATCGTCAAACTTCCATCAAACGGTCACCGGAGAATCGTCGGAATATTCAACATCATCGGAAAGTCGCTGGAGTATCGCCGAGAAGTTCGCCGGAGTATCGTCGGAAGTTTGCCGGAGTGTTAGGAACGTTAATGGAAGTCGCCGGAATGTTCAGAACGTTCACGGAACGTTAAGAACATCATTGGAGACTCACCGGAATATCTAGAATATTGCCGGAAAAAAAAAATAAACGGAGAAATTAGATTGAAAAAATATAGCAACATGTGCTAAATATTGATAAACTAAAAGAAAAAAATAGAACGACAAAAAACAGCAACAATTGAAAAAACATATGCTATTTTTCAATTTTTGTAAGGTTTAAGCAAATAATCTCTAATATTGATCAAACTGAAAAGTAAGTTTTGAAACTGTAAATATTACAGTTTCAAAGTAAAAATCTATTAAGTATTTATTCTTATTAATCAAATTGAAAAACATGTTATGAAACTATAAAATTTTACAATTTTATACCATGATTCATTCCAGTACCAAAAAAATTTAAAACTGAAAAATTTTACAGTTCTCACTGCTTGTAACTAAAACTTGAAAATAACTTGTTCAGAACTTATAAATTTTCTCCATTAGAACAAAAAAAGAGAAGTATATAAAAAAAAAAAGAAAAAAAGAAGAGATCGAAGAAGAGAGGTGAATATAGAGAGATGATTGTACTCCAGTAACTATTTTTTGTTTAGATCTAGCCGGATTTAATGTAGATCTACTTAGATCTGATGTAAATCTACACAGCATCAAAAAAATTTGAAACTGCAAAATTTTACAGTTTTCACCGCCTGTAACTAAAACTCGAAAACAACTTGCTCAAAACTTAAAAAATTTCTCCATTAGAACAGAAAAAAGAGAAGTATAAAACAGAGAAAATGTAAAAAAAATAAGAGATCGAAGAAGAGAGACAAATATAGAGAGATGACTGTACTCCTGCAACTACTTTTTGTTTAGATCTAACCGGATCTAATGTAGATCTACTCAGATCTGACAAAATAAATAAATAAATAACTAAATAAAAAGTTACCAGTTGTTTGCAAGGTTATAGAGAAATGATAGGAAGATAGAAACAGCAGCAGACCAAACAATCCACAAGAGGGCAGGAGGTAGAAGTATTTGTATCATGGTCAAGAATCCAATGACGGACGACAACGCGCCAGCATACCCCCCTATTCTTGCAGCGATTGGCGAATCCTTTTGCAACAACATCACATGCATATTACAAGTGAAACCAATTGCAAAACAAGCCACAACAGTATCAAATGATTTTGCATCTGCTAGCTTTGAACTCAAATAGTGAAACCGCGATCCGTCTAATCTGGAAGTCACCAGAGATATGACTGCACCGAAATTCGCGGCTAGGAGCGGCTTCGCCAGCTTAACTAAGTTGTCCCCGCCACTTAGAATCCGAGACCAAGATTGACGCTTAACCCGAGTTGGAGTCCGAGGCGGAGTCTGAGTCCCAGTCCGAGTGCGAGGCTGGTCTTGAGTGTCACCAGTCATTGCGTCTGTGTTCGTGGGAACAGGTGGTTGTTGTGGGGGTGCTGGTAGTTGGGTTTGCGGAACTGGCTTGCCATCATCAGAAATTGATGATTGGCCATTTGAGGTTGAATTCATACCTACAAGGTACAAGCAAAGATTACATCAAAAAAATGCCATGGGTTTTTGTGCTTTTGGAATGGTTGTTGAGGTGTTATTTGTTTTCTGTTTTAGTTGTTTGCTTTCTTGTTTTTTTTTTTTTTTTTATCAGTAAAGAAAAGAAAACTTTATTGATGAGATGAGCAAAAACAAACAACAATATACATCAATAAATAAGGAAAGTGTAAAAAACATCACATCTAACACTTCACAATTCCAACTAGGTTGGCACCAAGGAGGAAACACAATCATCTGTTAGCACTAAACCCACAGATTAGCGAGAAATCAATCCAAAACACAGAAACAAAACGAAAAACATAAACAAAAAACATAAATAAACCCGTAGATTGGTTGTTTGCTTTCTTTGGAGGTGTTTAGCATATGATAGAATGGGTTTTTTGGTGTTAACAAAGTTGGGATGATCTAATCCATTGTGATGTTTTGTGCACCCTCCTCTTTTTATTGATATTTAGATATTTTTGTGTGTACATCTTCTTCCTTTCATCGTCATCAATAAAGTTCTGTTTATTTTGCCAATCAAAAAAAAAAAAATACCATGAATAAAGCATCATGGCTAAGGAAAACATATCCCAACCAAAATCTTGGCAGCCAAAAAAAAAAAATCACCATGCCAAACCCAAAGGAATCTGATGTGTGAAATCATATTGAATTTCAAAAAAAAAAAACTAAAAATAAAAATATTGGGGGGTTTTGGGTACACTAAAATCACCTGCAATAAAGGCTTTTAAGCCTGAATGGAAATCACCAAGATTTTATGATAAGGAAACGTTGTCAGCAACGAAACCTTACTGCATCTGCATTCAAGAGACCAATATTTTGTGTTTTTTGGTCCTTGGGTGGGCACAGCAGGATTGAATATTTCATCTATTCAGATAAGCTATTGGGGGAGACAAATCAACACATAAATAAATAACCACATTCATGGAAAATAGAAGATTTGATACAAGTAAAAAAAACGGAAGTATCAAGTTTGGGGATTTGAGTAGAAAAAATTGGAAAAAAAAATTCTAGTGTATCAACTATCAACAACAAATGAGAGAGAGAGAGACAAAGAGAAAATGAATAAATGAATGAATGAACGAATGAACACCGACTTACAATGAAAATGAGGGACGGAGGTATAGAGAGACCAGTGGGTCACGCGCCCCCGGTTTTGGACTTTTTTTTTTGCAAAAATAAAGAAAATATTTTAAATAACAAAATTTTAAAAAATATTATTTGGAGTGAAATGTTAATGATATTTTTAAAATTCAACAATGCTAGGTGGCCTTAATTTTCTTGGCTCGAATGGCTCGAAACACTCAAAACGACGTCGTTTTGGGTATAAAACGACGTCGTTTTGACACATTCAAGTCATTCGGGCCACACAAATTTGGGTCACCAAGCATTTTTCTTTAAAATTATGAGAACAATAATGGTTGTTTTAATTAAAAAAGAACAGACTATAAGAAACTATATTATTAAGAAAATTTTATGAAAAAATGTCAATATAACAATAATGTCTATCATTATTGACATGTGAACATAATTACTCTTACTATGAAGATACGAAATTTATTGAATTGTTAATTACATTTGACATGTGAGGTTCATCATCTATGTATTTTTTTATTATTAGTTAATGATATCACATGTCAATGATGACGTGATATGACTATTATATTGAATTTTTACTCAAATTTTGTATAAAAAAATTACTGTATCATTATATAATTTATTTTAAAACTTATATCCATGACTTTTTTTTGTATTCTCCATGATATACTAGTTTCAAATAATATTATTTTTTCAATTTTTTTTTTGAAGTCAATCGTAAAAATTTATATAAAATATTTTTGTAAAAATTTTCGATGTTGTTATTAATAAGTGTCCATCTGATTTAATTTTCTGACTCCATTACTTATGAAAATTATGGGCCCATTACACTTTTTTTTTTTTTGGTTATTTATCAGCAAAAGAGAAAAATTTATTGATAAAATGTATCGAGGATATTTCCACATATTTGTGCATATATTTGTTTTATTGAGAATCCAAAATCTCAAATTATGGGCCCTTATATTTTTTTGGATTTTTGATTAAAAAAAAAAAGAGACCGAAGAAGAAGAAGAGGAGAAACCTCTTGTGGATATATATATATATATATATTTGGCCCATTACACTTGGCACTCATATATTTTCATCAAAATCTCACTTTAATCTATTTACTTTCAATTGTAACAATTAGTCTCTTATACTTTAAGTCAAGTTACAATGTTTTCCCTCCATCTATCTGCCATTAATAAGGTTAATGGAAGTTGTCATCTGAAATACATGTGACATTTTTTTTTTAAAAAATAAAAAATACTGCCACATGGCATGAGGAGAGTAAAGCGGAGAGTAAAGCTTCAGGACACCAAAATTTCTGTTCACTTTATAATAGTATAGATATATATTTGGCCCATTACACTTGGCACTCATATATTTTCATCAAAATCTCACTTTAATCTATTTACTTTCAATTGTAACAATTAGTCTCTTATACTTTAAGTCAAGTTACAATGTTTTCCCTCCATCTATCTGCCATTAATAAGGTTAATGGAAGTTGTCATCTGAAATACATGTGACATTTTTTCATTAGTTCATCACTCTTATACTTTTATTACAATATTATTTTAGTCTTTTCATTTTTATCAAAGTCTCACTTTAATCTCTCAATTTTAAATTTTTGTTAGTCTTACTAAGGTTAGATGAATGAATGGGTGAAATTGTAATTGGATTTAAACTATAGGAGATTAACTGTTACTATTAAAAATGAAAAAATCAAAATGAAAATTTGGTGAAAGTGCATAGTTACTAAATATAATTTACCTAAAAATTATTTAGTGGATCTGGGATAAGTACATGTACCCCAATTTGATACTTACTGGTTTGAATAATGAGACTTATTGCTGATAAAATAAGTAAATAAATAAAACAATAGAGGGATTCATCAATTTTGTATTATGTTTTGCGAGATAATGAGATACTTACGGGAGAGTAAGGCCACCAAATAACATGTGCTATTTATGGGAAAAGTATTGATATAGAAGTAGAAAAAATATACCCCCAAAAAAAAATTAATATAAAATATGTGTAAATTCTTTATTTTTTATTTTTTATTTTTTACTTTTAGATGGTTGTCAATTCTTGATTTTGAAACCAAAAATTAATAATTAAGACTTCATTTTGTATAGATATCATCTTCTTTGCAGGAAAATATATAGGAAATGTTAAATATATCGGAGACACTCAACTCAAAATCAATCAGCAAAGAGTAGAGAGACCACAGACAAAATTAGGAGAAAATTGTGGGAGGCCATGACCTCCAGTTTGCCATAATACTTTTAAATATATATATATATATATATATATATATATATATATTTTCTTTTATCCTTCCAGTAATAAAATCTTAGTTCTGATCCTGAGAGAGACTTTTAAATTATATAAACCAAACTTAAATAAGTTACAAAATAATATGTAGTAACGACTTAAGCATTAGATGATCCTGCAGCACAAGTCTTGCATAGAGAGAGCTTACACATCTTCACCTTAACTCTCTCTCTAAAACTCTCTCTCTAAAAAACCATCATCACGGGCCTCACCGCTGGCTAGCCGGCCGCCGCCTTTAACCATGGCGGTTGGCTGGCCTAGTTTTTCTTCCTGTGTTCATGTTTTTTCTCCTAATAATCTTGAGCCCCCATTTGTTTTCCGTTTTTTCCTTTTCAGATCTAATCTCTAGATTTGCTTAGGATGCTGTTTAAGTCCTTTCGTCTTTGTATAGGATGCTTGTTTTCACAGGTATTCTTTGGGGTTTTTAGCTAAGTATTCCTTGGGTGGTTTTAAATCTATCTTTATCCGGCGGTCTATAAGCTTGGTGGGTCTTCACTCTGTGGGTTTTGGTGTTTTTGGAAGCTTCGATAAGTGGTTTTGGTGGGTTTTTTTCTCGAATGAAGAGGTTCGGTGGAAGTGGTGCTTCGGCCATGGTGTTCAGCTTTGGCCATGGGTTTTGGTTTAGGGTGGTTGCGTTAATCATGGGTGGATTGGTTCAGGAACTTCATTCGGGCACTTCTCTGCGAGCGGGAGTTTGAGGGGTGGAGGATCCAGAGTTGTTTAGGATCTTCATTTGAGCGCTCCTGTGCAAGTGGGAGTTTGAGGGGTGAATTTCGTTCAATTCTATGGTGGTCGGTGTTTGTGCTTGGTTAAGAGGAGAATGGTGCCGGGTCTACAAAGAGGGGACTGCTCAGCGTTGTTGGTGAGGATCAACCGAGGGAGTTGTTTGGGTGAGGAAAACCGTGGGAGAAGTTTAAGATGGAAATATGGGTTTTCAGGGTAAAAGCGTGGTAACAGCACCAACAGCTCCATTCCCAGTGGCAAAGCCAGTGGATGCTAAAGAAGAACCATAGGAGGAGGATGCAACAGCAACAGAGAAGGCACTAGTAGCATTCCCGGCGGGGTTGAAGTCGAGAGCAAGGAATTTGTTGAGTCAAGGAGGAGAAACCAGCAGGTATTGCAGTCACGGGTGGTTCTCGGCAGCAATGAAGCCTGAGTGTCTGGCATTGGTGCAGGGTGTTCGGGTCAGGCGTGGGGTTTTCAAGTCAAGCGTGGGGTTTTGTTTCCGCGGCAGGCGTGGGTTTTATTTGTGTATTAGTGTTTTAGGTGTGGGGCTCAAGAGTTTGAATTGTTGTTTTATTTGTCTTTTAAAATATAAAATCGTGAGGCTAAGGGGTTGGTTGTAAAGACGCGAGTAGCAGTAGTAGGAGAGTGAGTTTTTACTCTTCGAATCTCTCTTAATGTGTTTTTTTCCTTGTACCTTTAAATTTCATGTTTTAATAAAAAGTTTTCTTTGCTAATTAAAAAAATTAAAATAAAAATAGAGAGAGCTTCACATTGTTATGACTTGTATACATACATTGGGTGAACAATTGTTATATTATTAGCTGGGAAAATGTCAGGACATCTGTAAAAGTTTCGGAATCACAAAGACTTGTGAGTGCTGGGTATGTTTTTGTATATAATTATTAGTTGGCTTAACGAGTATAATTATCAATTTGGTAAATTAAAAATACACTTCTTGAGGTTTGTTTAAAGTATATATTGCCTCATATGGTTTGAAAAATTACAAATACCTCCTTCTTAGTATTTTTTATTTAACAAAATTAACTAAAAAAATAAAATTTACAATTGCTCTCCTATACAATAATAAAATTACCTAAATTATTAATTAAAACATATTCTAACATCATTAAAAAATATTAATTGACTTAATAATTTATTAATAAAGGGGCGATTTGTTATGAAATTAGAAACATCGGGGAGTGGAATGTAATTTTCAAAATCACATGGTGCGATTTGTATTTTAATTAAACCTCAGGGGGTGTATTTGTAATTTACACTTGTCAATTTGTTTTAAAAAAAAATCATTGATGTATTAAGTTATATAAAAGGCCTATATCATTTCCTAAATACGTAGGCTGCTCATATTGTTATCAAAAAGTAATTTTCTGAAATTATAATAATAAAATTCTACTTAAGATTGACTAAAACTTAAATGAATTAAAATTAGTAATTTTTTATCTCAGCAAGGGGAAAAAATTATTGAATTTTGCAACATAAAAAATATAGGAAAATAAAAAGCCTCATTGAATTTTCACCTTACTAAAAAAAAAAAATGCTATGTATATGAAAATGTATCCCTCAAAAATGAATATTTAGTGTAAATTTAAAGTCGTAGAAATGTGAGCACATAATAATTATAAATTACTGATTTTTTTTTCTAAATAATTTTTTTAATTTGTAGCATTGTTAATTAAAAAAACAAATAAGACGCCTTGACAATGTGAACTGACAGAAAACAATTTGAACACGCAACAACAAATTCTTCACGGCTAATTTTTGACCATTAATTAAGCAAGTTCTACGAAAGTTCATGAAAGTTAGCTTTCATTGCAAAGGCCGCCTTTGGCTCCCTTTTGAAATTGTGATTTCAGTTTAAAAATTTTAAATTTTTTTTTAATTCATTATCAAACAAATAATTTAAAATTAT